GATTATCTCAATTTCAGCTAAAAGAATTGACAAAATCCTACACACTGTGCCTTTAAAAAAAAGCCAAAAAAACAAAAACAACAACAAAAAAAAAAACAACAACAAAAAAACAAACAAACAAAACACTTTTGGTTCTGAGCATTCAGCTTACTCTGGAGTCTTTGTAGGATCTGAAACACCTGAGCATTTGTGATTGTTTTTGTGTTGATTAGAATGTTGTCGCCATATTAGCAAACAGCCAAGCTCCTTTTCAAATTGCTGCCTTCCTCTTATCAGCCACTTAATCACGTCCACTTTGCTGCTGCCACCAGGCCGGACCCCCTGTGCCCTCAGAGCAAACCTAATTCTTCATGACATCGATTAAACAAGATGTTAGAAACGTTCCTGAGTGGTTTCGGTCCATGTTGACATGATAGCATCATGCAGTTGCTGCACATTTGTGGCCACCTCCATTCTATTTGTCTGTGATTAAACATTGCTCTAACACCTCCACCTGCCATGTTTCATCAGAGGTTTAACGTTCAGACAATACGCTCAGAAAAGCATTCAGAAGAGGTGACATTGGAGTGCTTTGGCTGCATGTTTAGGAAGCATTTTGTGCAGCACCGTGATGGGAACAGATGTATCCAGGAGCTCGTGAGGCCCTGATTGGCTCTAAAAGAAGCTGAACCTGGGGATCATCCCGTGCGGCGAGGCTTGTGCATATTCAGCGGCTGAGGAGGAGATGCAGGCTGAAAGTGTTGCTAGGAGACCACACACACAGCGACTAGTGTGAGCGGCTTGATTTCACCTCCCTTCCTCCCCTCCTTTCTTCTAGTCTGACTGCCTTTCAGTGTTTCTCCATCCTCTCTATACTTTTCCTCCATTTCCTTTCACTCTCATATCCCCCCTGCCCTCCATCCATCTGATTCTGTTTGTCTTCTCCCCCTGGTCCATCTCTCACTCCCTGCTTGTTGGCTTTCTCTCCGTTTCACCGTCCACCCACCACCACCACCCTCCTCCCGTCTCTTTTCACGCCGCCTCTTTCCTGCTCTCTGTGTGTGTCTTCAATCTGCTGAGTCTTTTCTCATCCCTGCGCTCTTCCTCTTCGCTTTTCGTCTCCCCTTGTTTGTTTGTTTGTTTGTTTCTTCAGCTGTACTGCAGCCTCTGTGACTGACTGGTTGAGATGCTGAGCAGAAACCACTGGGACGTCTGTGAGGGACCAAATATGCATCGATATTGAAAGTTTTTCTCTTTTCAAATTAAATCTTTAAATAATTCAAACGTTATCAGATGCAAACGTCTTTTGAGAGGACAAGGTGTGCAGGAGAAGTAAAGGATGTTAGTACATGGTGTTCTGCTCAGTTAATATAATTGGTGTACTTGCAAAAAGAAAAATAAACAGAAAACCTTGTGAATGCACAAAAACACATCAAAAAATGAATACATTGGTATTTAATTCGCTATTTAAAGTCAGATTTTTGTTGATGTCTGCAAAATACAAAGAGACTATGAAGCCCAATAGAATTAGCTGTTTATTATCACCAGCTGTTTCAAGGCAGAACAACAGTGCAGTGTTGTTTTTCCTCATGTCTGTGTGTACGAATGTTTATCTGTTAGCAAAATAACTCATGAATCATTGAACGGGTTCCAATGAAACTCCCAGGTAGTAATCATCAGAGGTACRTCTACAACTGGGACTGGTTGCATGAAGTTCAGATTTATACTCCCAGGATTAACAGCAGGAAGCTAAGCTTGAACAATCCTTAACTCATAAACAAGCTGAACTGCACAAACAATAAACCAGGCTTCAACAAGGCGGTTTATTCAAGCAGTTTTATACAGATAATTCATACAACTTGATATTTATGGCACACCAAGTGTAAAATAAAATGTTATGAAATGTCACTAACCCATTTCCATTATTTAGCTCACTGTTCTTACGTTTAGCTTTTTTATTAAATGTTAAATTTAGATGTAAATATTATATCCTACATGTAAATGTGTAAATCTAAATGTAAAAGTTAAATGTTGAAGTTTACGTTTAAGTATCTCAAAATGGAACAGAGTTGTCATCCTCCTGAGACAATATCAAATGCTAATGTTATCATACTAGTGTTGATGTTTGTCACAGGATGATGACATCATCCTGGTTAGCTGATGCTAGCCGCTTCTAGCGATACTGAAGGTGGTATACAAAAACTAAATCCAAAATGTGTTAATTGAAAACCATATGAATGGTACCTGTGGTCCGGCAGTTTGAAGTGTTGCGAGGACACCAGCTGCAACTGCAAGTTTGATGTTTTGTAGGGAAGCTTTAGCAGCATTAGCGGTTGTTTTTGTCTCAGGTTGATGACATCCTAGCGTTCCATTCTGAAATTTTTAAGTGCAAACTTCAACATTTAACTTTTATACATTTAGATTTAGGATTTAATATTTACATACATTTTTCAACATTTAAATTTAACATTCATTAAAAATTTGCAAAATGTAACAAAAGTGAGCTGAAAAACACTAAAATGTTAGTGGATTTTTTTTAACACTCAGCAAATGAACTAAATAATGAAAAGTGTGACATTTTATGAATTAACATTTTATTTTCCACTAGGTGACCCATACTATCTGCCATTTTTCAGACTCATCAGGGATTCAAGTAGCTGTTCCTCACCTGTATGTTTTAACTTTAAGCCACTCGGTTCACATGTTTTTATTTCCACAGACTTATGATACTTCACAGTTCATTTGCTTTGTTCACATCTAAAAATAGACCGAATCAAGAGAGTGTGGTTTGAATGTGTTATCTTTGCTTTTGACAGACAAAACTTTGTTAACTTGTTGCAAGGTATTTGTTACTTTTTGTTGGCTTTCATTAAAATCCCTCCAATTGTTTGAAATTTTTGACTAAAACTACGAAAAATATGTACACACATACAATAAATTTCATGAAAAACAAAATAAATTCTTATAAAAGAATTTATTAGATTGTGCAAAAGAAACCTGTAAAAAACAGAAACATTCTTTCTTTGTCCTTAAGGCAGAAAACACTCCCTTTGATAAACACGTGGCCTTAAAGCTTATCTGAGAGGTAATTAACCACCATTTTAGGGTGGATATACTCACTCACAGCAGCCACATTGAATCGGTGTGTGTGCTGCATGTGGTCAAGAAAAAAATGAAATGTTTCCTTTTTTTTTTACTTTATATTTTGCTTCACAGTGTCTC